GAGCTGCCCCACATACGGACCGGAGGACTTTGTCCGACTTCTTCACCGGGATGAGACTCATCTCGTCAACCCAAGATTCCGCGTCCTCTGCTGCTGCTGTTGCGCACTCGGCAAACCCTCGCGAATGGGAGTCAAGCCATCCTCGAGATATGGGCATTGGACCCGATACGGGTTGTGCTACCTCGCAGCGCAGCGGGGTCGTTGCCATATGTATCAAACTCAAACTGAAAGCGGTTGGTCATCGGTAACTGCACTGCCTGGCATATCCCTCAACAAGACATGCCATCATAAAATCAGCAAGGAGTCGCTGATATCATTCATCGAAAGAAGACAACACCCCCCCACATGGTCAATCACAGCTGGACCTTGACAAGTTGTTTGACGGTTGCACACTCGCGCGCAGAGCGGCACAGAGTGACAGTGCAGGTCGCTGCGGTGCGCACTGGTGCACGGAGGGAGACTCCGATGATGGTCGGGGGCCCCCGCGTTGCGTATCAGGTCACGCCGCGCACTTGCAGCTGCAGCAGCCCCCTCATTGGGCGGCTCAAATTGAGCAGAAAGCTCAAGTGCGGTCTGCCATGAGGCCATAAGCGGGAGCACCGCACGATTTTTCACGCAATGTGTATACGTTTCGCAGCTGCGCGCGAGGTCCCTGCCGCCGGCCCGCGCTGCAGTCACGTGTCTGGCCACCGCGGCGAGGAGGAGCATGGCCTGCAAAGTGCCCTCCGCGCTGGCTGCCGTCTGCCCGCCCGCCGACGTGTGCTGTTGCCGTGGCATTCTTATAATATTCTTATTACAGTATTATTATATACTTGGCGGTCGAGGCTGTAAATCTTCCAAATGCTCCGTGGTGCTGGGCCAGGCTGCTGCTGCTGCTGCTGCTGGTGGTGGTTGCCGGACCTGCCGAGGTGAGGGACCCTCCGCGCCAAGGGTAATGGAATAATAAAGCTGGTCGACTTTTGCTTACCGCGCCGGCTGCTCTTGGTGCTCCGTTTTATGTCCGCTCCGTTACCACTTCCACAAGGTCGTATGTGCAGCTTAGGCGTTCGTCTCATCCTGCGAGGGGTGCATGCATGGCCATTGGGCGACTCGACTTTTTGGTGTGCGAGCTCGAGGTACGCTCGAGGTGCGCTCGAGGTACGCTCGAGCAGGCTCGAGGTACGCCCTGCGTGCGCTCGAGGTGCGCTCGAGGTGCGCTCGAGGTGCGCTCGGCCTTGTTGTGCGCTGGAGTTCACGAGTCAACCAACCCTCGCATCGGTGGCTGACCGGTCCGAGGTTGACATAGACTACGCGCTCTCAGGCTTTGACCCGAACGTCACGTCACACCTCTCCCATAGCGCTCACTAGTGTTTGGCCGCGGCACATCATCCCGACCCATCTCTGCGCTGCACTTGTCCCAGTGTTGCGTGCGCGGGTCATGTCACGTTATTGCGTGGCGGGAGGGCGGTGGGACTGGGTCAGTGAGCGGCCGCGCCACGCCGCGCCACGCCACGGCAACCGGTCCATCGAACCCTCGCATTGCGATTGCATTGCATTGCAGGGGTTGCAATTAGCAAGCTCGCAAAGTGCAAAGTGTTGGGCTGGGCCTGTAAACCACAACATATGGACGCACTCGCTGCGGGCGGGGCGGGGCGGGGTGCGGCAGGGCCCCGCGCCTGCTGCGGTCGGCAGGCAGGGAACCTCAACGCTGGGGGAGGTCACTCACTGCAGCCGCGCCGAAAATGTTGAGAGCATTTACTGCAGGCTTTTCAAGATCCCGTGAAGACACTTTGTTGGATTTTTTTTTGCGTTCTGTTTTTTTTGCAATGTGTGTGTTGTGGAGTGAAAAGATAACCCCATATCCTTCAGACTATTTACCAAGGATTTGACGAGAGTTTTGTTAGCCTCCTGATGAGCTTCCCACGATTGTGCATGGAAAGGACTTTACCGTCGTGTAGGGATAGCATAACCTTTTGCGTTAGCTCTGCACTATGCGGTAGCCAGCCAAGATGTGAACCCCAGGGTCGCAATGCAGCATCACTGGCGCCGCTGCTGGCTGGCGCGCGCATCCTCTCGTGGGTTTCTCGCTCTCTCGCACTCTGCCCACCCGCCCCTTTTATCTCTCTCTCTTTCTCTCTCCTCCCACGCTCTCGTCAGAGGTTGGCGGCGGTAAAAGTCCTTCATCGGTATGGCGCACTGAGAAAAATTTTTGGTGCCAGGCACTAAAACTTTTGTGCTCAGGTCGAAAGTTTTTCGACGCACTAAAGTGTTTATTTCCAGGGGCAAAAGGCGTTTAGTGCGCCGGCTTTGGTGTCAGGCGCTAAATAGATCAGGCAGTGGCACTAAGGAATATGCAAGCTCAGGCATTAACTAAGTCTTTTTTCCCGAACGTTAACTGGGTACGATGACACGGACAATATTTTTTTTCTGGATTTGGTCCAA